GTGCGCCACCACCGCCCGGCCTGTTATTGTTTTTAAGACAGGTTTTCTCTGTGTAGTTTTGGACTCTGTCCTGAACCTCACTCTGTAGAACAGGCTGGCCTTGAACTCACAGAGATCCACCTGGCTCTGCCTCCCGAGTGCAGGGATTAAAGGGGTGGACCACCAATGCCTGGCTTGTTTTTGTTTTCAACCAAGACTTTCCCCTCATGTCTGAACATTTATTCTTTAGCACATTCCATCTTGTAAAGTGGTGCTGTTATGTCTCTAAGCATAACATAACATAAATAACATAACTGATAGCCTAGCTACTTTTAGATACTTCTTAATTACCAGGGTCATATGGTGAGTACAATGTTATGTATATTATGCATCTCTTAAAGAAGGCACAAAACCAGCTGTAAGTAACTCAGGAAAAAGCACTTGTGTCCTTTATCTTTTTTTCAACCACTGCCCCATAACGCAGGGAAGTTTTCTGTAATCAGTTCACATTGCAGGTTTGATGTAGTTTGTTGTTTTGTTTTTTAAGCAGAATATACTCCAAGCCCATCTCACGTGGACTAATGACACAAACTCTCTGGTCCACAGAAACTGCCTGAGCTTCAGAGCTACTCCTTCCTCACAGACTGATTCCAACCAAAGCCACTGCTCCTACCACCTCTTGAACCCGGAGAAGCCAACGCACCCACTTAGTCAAATACCTAACAACAGCTTCCACGTAAGAAGGAAAAATTCTACCAGAACTGAAGCAAGCTCATCTTGTTAATCAGTAAGTAAGCAGATACTTACTACAGATAATATTTTATTTTAGTGGAACAAAGTCTACAGATTCCTTTAGGTTTTTTCCTAATGAAGAACCTAACTTTATTTGACTATAATTTTTTTAGACTTACTTATTTTATGTGTTATTTATTTTATGTACATGCTGGGGATCAGACACAGGTCCTGTGCAAGAGCAACAAGTGCTCTTAACTGCTAAGCCATCTCTCCAGCCCTTGATCTATAATTTTCATGGCATATATACTTATTTATAAAGAAACTTTAGGGAATAGCAAGATAGTTCAGTTGGTAAAATGTTTATTGCACAAACAACCATCAGAACTCACATGAAAGCTGGGCAGTGGCTCATGCCCACAACCCATCACTGGGTGAGGGGAGACACACGCCCACA